ATAAATACAATTTTTGCCCAAATTACGTCATTTCCGATGATATTGAAAATGTTAAATTGGTTTGACCTAGTTAAAATTGACATTACACATCAAATGGTGTCACTTTTATGAAAATCGAATAATAATTGACTCTTTTACAGGCAAACTAGCGTAAAAAGTGACTCATGCAAAATTGCCCATTTCTCGGCAACTGCGCATATTACAAATTAATTTTCACATACATTCTCTCCGTATAGATTATTGCTACGAGTTTATGAAAGTTACGAAGTAATATTTTAAAATATGAAAACGCTGGATGGGTTGTAAATAGCTTAATTTTACACCTTTTTTCACCTTTTAATCGAAATAGCCCGAAAACGGAATCGAAATTAAAAAAACTGGTTCCAACATTTTGTGCGCCTTTAAAGGGCGCACAATTTCAGTTATACCAGATTTGAAAAAAATAATATTTGCTTTCGAAAAATGGTACCTAACTGTCAAAATTGTAGTTTTTTGTCAATTTACGCCACTTCCGGTGCCGACAGATAACACTATTGGTAACAAAAAAAATGACAATTGAGACAACGGAGCATATGAACTTTGTTTTATACAAATCGAACAATAAATAATTAATCTAGGACTGAAAAACTGAATTAGCCAATTGGGGCCAAGGAAAATTACCGAGACAAAAATTTTTCACATTTTTGCCCAAGTCAGAGGACTCGTTATATTTGTGTAAAACACGACTAAAAAATATTCATAAATAAAAAAGTTTTTTGTAAAAATTTAAATTTTCTAAATTTAGCGCCTAATATCTGCGAAGATTTGCCGAAAATCAAAAATCAAAAGTAGCGTAGCTATGTGCCCCGTCTCCGGCTATGCCAAAATGCATCGAAAGTTAAAATCCAATGATTATTGTTAAAATTACTGCAATATTTCTAAAAACGATAGCTTCGGTGATTTCGGACATTTCGCATTGTCGCAGAACGTTCAAAATAGCTTTATCCTCTAAGTCACACCCACTTTTTCAGTAAAACTGAAGAAATCGTAACGATCCGACAATCAGTTGCTGAGATCTACTCAAAACAAAAGAAGAATAATAATAATAACTAGAACTGCGAAGCAGTAATGACGGGTTTCACCGGTGCCACGTTACCCTTGAACTTATGTCACTTCCTGTACCAATGAAACCGTTAAACAGGTTTCCACATAAGCATTGCACACATGAAATAAAATGGACGCAGAAACAACCAAATCCAGCAATCAATTCATTTGCTACATGTCAGTGATCCTGTCAAAATTACATTACTTCCGGTGATAATGCAAATGTTAAATTGGTTTATGAAATCAGAAATAGCATCATCACATGGTGAAAATTTTATGTAAATCCTATAATAATTGCCACCTTTATAGACCAAAAACCTTGAAAAATGACTTGTAGAAAATCGCCTATTTCTCTGCAACCGTACAAGTTAGAAACCATTTTGAGGTATCTGTATGATCGAATGAGTTCATTCTATTTGTTGATTGGAATCAAACATCATAATTTTAAAAACATTACAAATCTGATTCATTTGAATAAAATATCTGTTTTGAAGGCTAAAAATACAGTTTTTGCCAAAATGACGTTACTTCCGGTGATAATGAAAATCTTAAATTACTTGTATGAAATCGTAAATGGCATTATGTATCACACAGTGAAAATTTCATGAAAATCGAATAATAATTGACACTTTTATTGACAAAAAACCTTAAAAAGTGACCTGTTGAAAATTGCCTATTTCTCCGCAACTGAACAAGTTAGAAACCATTTTGTGATATCTATATGATCGTAAGGGTTCATTGTATTAGTTGATTTGAATCAAATATCAAAATTTTAAACAAATAACAAATATGACTCATTTGAATAAATTACTGGTTTCGAAGGCTATAAATACAATTTTTGCCCAAATTACGTCATTTCCGGTGATATTGAAAATGTTAAATTGGTTTGACCTAGTTAAAATTGACATTACACATCAAATGGTGTCACTTTTATGAAAATCGAATAATAATTGACTCTTTTACAGGCAAACTAGCGTAAAAAGTGACTCATGCAAAATTGCCCATTTCTCGGCAACTGCGCATATTACAAATTAATTTTCACATACATTCTCTCCGTACAGATTATTGCTACGAGTTTATGAAAGTTACGAAGTAATATTTTAAAATATGAAAACGCTGGATGGGTTGTAAATAGCTTAATTTTACACCTTTTTTCACCTTTTAATCGAAAAGCCCGAAAACGGAATCGAAATTAAAAAAACTGGTCCCAACATTTTGTGCGCCTTTAAAGGGCGCACAATTTCAGTTATACCAGATTTGAAAAAAATAATATTTGCTTTCGAAAAATGGTACCTAACTGTCAAAATTGTAGTTTTTTGTCAATTTACGCCACTTCCGGTGCCGACAGATAACACTATTGGTAACAAACAAAATGACAATTGAGACAATGGAGCATATGAACTTTGTTTTATACAAATCGAACAATAAATAATTAATCTAGGACTGAAAAACTGAATTAGCCAATGGGGGCCAAGGAAAATTACCGAAACAAAAAATTTTCACATTTTTGCCCAAGTCAGATGACTCGTTATATTTGTGTAAAACACGATTAAAGAATATTCATAAATAAAAAAGTTTTTTGTAAAAATTTAAATTTTCTAAATTTAGCGCCTAATATCTGCGAAGATTTGCCGAAAATCAAAAATCAAAAGTAGCGTAGCTATGTGCCCCGTCTCCGGCTATGCCAAAATGCATCGAAAGTTAAAATCCAATGATTATTGTTAAAATTACTGCAATATTTCTAAAAACGATAGCTTCGGTGATTTCGGACATTTCGCATTGTCGCAGAACGTTCAAAATAGCTTTATCCTCTAAGTCACACCCACTTTTCCGATAAAACCGAAGAAATCGTAACGATCCGACAATCAGTTGCTGAGATCTACTCAAAACAAAAGAAGAATAATAATAATAAGAATAATAATTTTAACAAAAACAATAGTGTTTCACACAAGCTACGCAGTGTGAAACCCTAATAATAATTTTAACAAAAACAATAGTGTTTCACACAAGCTACGCAGTGTGAAACCCTAATAATAATTTTAACAAAAACAATAGTGTTTCACACAAGCTACGCAGTGTGAAACCCTAATAATAATTTTAACAAAAACAATAGTGTTTCACACAAGCTACGCAGTGTGAAACCCTAATTAATTGATTATTGTAGTTATACTCTTAGTACTCTTAGTATTAAGACCGATTATAGTAAATTATACCGATAGGTCAATCAAATAAATAAGAATTATTAATTACGACATTTAAAATAATTATCTCGTAAACATGTATTAAAACTATAAGTACGGTATAACACCCGGTAATTGACCGAGTAAACCAAACTGTAGTGGTGTTCAGATGCATGCTCCGGAATTTGAGGAGGGGGGGGGGGATGGATTGAGGTCGAGGGGATTACCCAAAAATTTTGTAAAATTAAAACCTCCCGATACAATATATCTGCTCATTTACTGCATAGGATTAGGAGCCTACTGATTTTGTTTGTACTATGTTATTTGAATTCTAGGTAGCATTGCTTTGGACACAATCCTGGCTTTATTTTATGTTACAAAACAAAAATGATGCATTAAGCTAAAATAGGTTGCAATTATGCAGCAAATTCATTTTGCACCGATCTCATTAATAAAACAAAACCAAGTACGAACAATCCAAACAATTAGACAAACTTCGAATTCCTAAAAAAACCAAAAACATTATTATAGGCAAAATAGTGTAATCAGCAAATAATGGACTGTTCACCGTGTACAATAGCCACGATGAACGGTGGTAACATGTGTCCGGATGAGTAACCTTACCCTGCCTGGTGCCACACCCGCCAATATCAGTAAAATAGCGTAATTGGCCAATGGACTTTCCATATGCAAAATGCACATGATGAACATTGTTAACAGATGTCGTAGACATAATCAGGAGGATAGTTACGCATCAGTTAGATATATCTAGAATAATAGCCGAAAGAGACATGTTATTTTACTAATCAAGTCAATATGACTTTTTAAAGGTTTTTGTAAGTTTATTGGACAAGTGTCTCAGGAGTTGAAGCTTAGATGACAAATGCCTCGATCTACTTAAAAAATCAGAATAAAAGGAACAAGCTCTTGCGTATCAAACTAGCTAAGACACATAATTATACACTTCATAAGCTGCTGATAGTGGAATGTTACTAAGTCTAATAAATGGAAAGTTGACAAGCCTTTATTAATTTTATGCTCTCGTTAAAAGTCCTATCATGCATTATTTTCATAAATTTTGTGCTCACAATACGGTGGGGTACGAGATAAGAAACCATATCTCTCAACCCTACGTTTCTTCAGATAAGAGACATATAGTACCTGTCAAAAATACGATGCAAATCTGATAGTACTTCAATAAGCGAAACTGTCAATTCTTTTTTCAAAACAGTGATTGGTTATTGTTATTTATTACATTTTTACATATACTGCCAATATTATCGGTAAAATTAGTCTGGCAGGCCTAGCAGGAATTTCCTTTGCTGATTAAAAATATTCCTGTATAAGAAAAAAAAATCAAGAGCATGATGGTTTTGCCTTAAAAAATGTGACTCAAAGGATTGGGAATCATTTATTTATTAATACTTTTTGTTCACTTTCATTTTTATAACTTGGTTTCACCATGTCAGTGGTGCAGGACGCATGGGGCGGAAAACCAAGGTCCTGTACACATACACATTGACGTGCACGTAAAAGATCCTTTGGCAGTTAGAATTCGATATAAGAGTATGCCTTAGTGCAACTCATGTACGGGCAAAATTTCCCTCCTAGCACACTGTATGTCATATGCCCGTCTTCATTATCCCATTTGGAGCAGAACAGTAGTACATTAAACACCATTTCATTTCATTTTTATTACAATGAAACTATAAGTCTGCATGTTATTTATTTGTTTAGGTTGTGTTCAGTAATTTAGTTTATACAAGATGAGTTCCAACTCTAGATGTTGTATTGGAGTACTTGTAGCGATTGTAGCAGTCCTAGTTTTAATAATTGGTCTTGTATCTACCTCACTCAAGAAGTTAGATTCTGATGAGGGTAAGTTTATACAATAATGAATGGTTTGATGGCCAAGAGGTCTCTAGATATTTGTGGTTTAGATCCTACAGCACCTCTACTAAAGCTAGTCTTGAAATAAAGTTCATCCTGAAATATAGTTGGTCATGAATATATCTATTTTGTTTTGACTGGACATTTAACATACTTCTCTTTTTCACCTGCTGATTCAAAAACTAAACAAGTTATAAACACCAGTCAGTTCAAGTCAACTGTCAATATGGTTGAAAAAAACCCCGGTCAGTTCAAGTCAGTAAGATCAGCCGTAATTTGCAAAAGAGGGCTGAAATCATTAGTCGAGTAGAAGAGCAACTTTCCTGACTTGATACAGCAGTTTTGAATTATATATATACCGGTTGTAGATTTATCAAATGAAACACAGGATTTGTAGACCATTCATGTTCTCTTTTGTTTCTTATTTACAGGCCTACATGTTGCATTTTTATACGCCCACATGGAAATTAGGTCGTATATTACCGTTGCCCCCGCCCGTCTGTCGGTCGGTCCGTCCGTCGTCCACAATTTCTTGTGAATACTCTACAGACTACATTTATCATCTGATTGTTTTGAAATTGATATATGTTGTTTGCATTAGTGAGATGAATAAGCCTATTTAATTTCAATAACTTCCGTTAATTTCTTCTGGAGTTATGGCCCTTGTTTCACTTTGTTGCACCTTGTGAGTGCTCTAAAGACAAAAATTATCAACCGATCTGTATGAAATTTATATGCATCATTTAAATTAGTAAAACAAAGAAGCCTATTGAATTTCAGCAATTTCCATTAATTACATCTAGAGTTATGGCCCTCGTTTCACTTTGTTGAATCTTGTGAACGCTCTAATGGCAACAGTTATCATCCGATCTGTTTGAAATTGATATGCATCATTTAAATTAGTGCAACAAAGATGCCTATTGAATTTCAGCAATTTCCGTTAATTACACTGTGAGTTATGGCCCTGTCTCACTTTGTTGTACCTTGTGAATGCTTATCCGATCTGTATGAAATTTATAGATATCATTTAAATTAGTAAAACGAACAAGCCTATTGAGTTTCAGCAAATTTCCGTTAATTACAACTAGAGTTATGGCCCTTGTTTCACATTATTAAATTTTGTGAACGCTTGAACGACAAAAGTTATCACCCAATCTGTATGAAATTCATATGCATCATTTAAATTAGTGAAATGAAGAAGCTTATTGAATGTCAGTAATTCCTGTCAATTACTTCTAGAGTTATGGCCCTTGTTTTACTTTGTTGAACCTTGTAAACATTCGAACGACAAAAGTTATCATCCGATCTGTATGAAATTGATATGCATTATTTGAATTTGTAAAACGAAAAAGCCTGTCGAATTTCCACAATTTCTGTAGATAACTTCCAGAGTTACAGCCCTTGTTTTAGTTTTTAGAACCTTGTGAACCCTCAAACGACGAAAATTATAATGTAATCTGTATGAAATTGTCTATTAAATGCCCCCTAATTACCTACAAAAGAATAAATATACGACAACTCTTGTCGACCGCTCGGACGATTTAGCTGCTGTGGGCGTATGTTTTGATGCCTGGCAACCTATCTTTCACTATTTATATATTTTACGTGTCACTGCATGCATTGCTATGTATGTACGGTATGCTTATTAATTTAGGAACACTTGATACCACTTCCCTATCATGGGTATTTATTGTTGTTATAAAATCCCTTTTGATTTTGTCTTCCATCCTTTGGGTTTATTAAGTACAGTATTTTTTTAAAATGATTTTCCAAGCATTTTATTTTTTTAACAGTTGGAATAAAATACAACACCATACAGAAAACGTTAGATGGTGAACCAAAATTAGAAGGATTGTATACAGGACCACCAGGATATGAATTTATTATCTTTCCTAATACATTCACCACTATGACCTTCTATAGACTTGAGGTAAGCATGCATTCAGTATTCTTCGATGGCACTGAACGCCATTACATTTACATCCAGAGATATGCATCAAAACATTTTATATTTCATTGGTTTAAATATTGTGAAATACTCCCTGGGACCTTTTGTCGTCCATATTTGATAAGAGAGGCTACATAGCAGACTAAGAAATTTACCATTTTGAATGATAATGTGCATAATAAAATAAATGGTCCAAAACAAACCAAACTATCTTGGTCAGATTTAGCATTATTTCAGAATCAGGTGTGTTTCAGAATCCTGTAAAAATAAAAATTTGTAATTTCAAACATGGGTTCCACTCGCTAATATATGCTGGTCATGACCGCTTGAGTTGAAACTTGACTTAAATGTCTCGGGGACCCATCGATCAATTTACACGCCGTCAGGCTTTGAAGTTAATTTTCTATGAATTTTCAAGTGGTTACAAAATATATGAAGCCTTAAGTGATAACTCACACACAGCTTGAAATTTCGGAACATCAATCCTGCAATTTAAAATACCGGTAGGTCAAATTTGAATGTTAATATTTTCTGTTGGCGAACAGGAACAAAGTACAACAGTAAATAATCATTGTTATAAATGTATTTTTACAATGTACTGTCATTTATATGTTAGGACTTCATGTTTTTGATGAATTGTATACAATTTTTTATACATATTTATTCGTCATCCTTGTCCATCAGTCCGTCAGTCAACAATTGCTTGTTGTCAACAATGGGTAGAGTTTTTGACAGATGTTTTTTAAATTGGTGTGAAGCATTGGGGTCATGAGAAGATGATCCCTATTGATTTTCAGCACTCCGCAGAGTGCCATTCCAGAGTTATCCTCTTTTTCAAAAACTTGGTTAACGCGATAAAGGCTACAGTTTACAACAGATTTTTTCCAAATATTCAGTATTCTGACGTGATCTGCCATTCTGGAGCTAACTCCCCATTTCTGAAAACCTTGTTAACATGATGAAGGCTACAGTTTGTAATAGATTTCTTTAATATTCCGTGTATGGCATTAGAGTCATGAGAGGAGGATTCATAACGATAATTAATGTTCAGCGATATCCCGACTACAGTTTTTAATCAGATATTTTTCAAATTTGGTGCAAAAACATTACTAATGTGGGAAGATTTACCATATTTCTTTTCTTTTGGATTATATCCGTAGATAGTCTGAAAAGCTTGTGAACATGATAAACTATTAAAGATGATCCATTTGGATGAGCTTTGGTTGAGACATAGCTTATTTCCATACTTTGGGTGACTACATTTAACTAAAATGTTGGGCAGATTTAATATTAGTAGAAATTCAATAAATTTCTAATTAAGCAGAAAAATATTTGATCTACTATATCTGACTATTCCTTTTTTTTGTTTCAGTGTTTAAATGCAGAGGGTGTGACAATTACACTAAATGTTGAATACCAATATAAAGCACAACCAAAAGATATAAAAAAGATCATACTAGATTTTAAAGATTTTGATAACTACAAAAAAATTCTTGAAACTACAGGTACAGATATTAGATAATACCACTTTGTCAATGTTGGGGATGGGGGAGATACAGCTATCATGCTTGTTCTGTTTGTGTTCATCTGGCAGTGGTTGATGTGGGGGAGATACAGCTGTCGTGCTTGTTTTGTCTGTCTGTTCGTCTGTCTTTTGTTTCCAGAGTAGAACTCGAGAACTATTCAGTATTTTTGTACATCAGTCATCTGTTGTTATTTAGACTTTAGGGACATATTTGTTTTCTTTGGTTTTTCTGCATAAAATTAGACCTTGTCATGTCGTTTCTGGAGCAGATGTTGGGAACCATTTCATTTTTCTTTACCAAACTTTCTGCAAATAACAACAACGTAGGGAAGTAGTGCCTTTTCCTATTTAGACTTTATTTTTGCCATTATTATCTATTTTTCTGCATAAAAATTAGCCTATGGCTATTGGGGGTAAGTACTGTTTCAGGAACAGACCTCAAAAACCATTCAGAATTTCTTCGCAGAAATTGTTAGGTACAAATGGGCGATTCTTCCAGTTATCCCAAGTGGTTTAAAGTAACTAGTTTCGTTCGTATTGAATTGTTCAGACTGATTAGACTCAAAAGTGAAGTTCTATTTATACTATTCCACAGAAATTGTTACACACTCATCTATTTTATTTTCAGTGCAGATTTCAAAAACAATTCTTTATTTTCACACTAATCCATCAATGTTAATGAATGCTAGTTCAGTTGGCACTTCAGAAAGCACTTGCTATTTTGTAACAAAAATTAGGATTGGTATTATTTCTAAAGATTTTCATGGAAAACTTTATAAAAATATGTCCATAGAAATTCTGTAAATATATCAACCTTATTCATTTAACTGTTCCACCTTCATTTGCCATTAGTTGCAGAAAAGTAAGATGTTAAACCCTGTTTCATTTCATTAGGTGGTAAACTGTTTATACCATGTGTTGTTACGGGTTGACACTCTCTCCTAACAAAACCAGTTGGCTTCTACAAATGTTCATTGTACCAATCTGTGGGAACCCGAAGAATATGGCATCTTTTGTGCATTAGTCAGCAGGACAAACCCTTGTCTGTGTTTTCAGTTTACTATATATTAAAAGCAGTTTGTGTGTGTGTGGGTGTGTGTGAGAGAGAGAAAGAGAGTCCTTCAAGTGTCTATCTACTTGTAATCTTTTGTTATACAGCATCAAGGTCGAATTTTTCTCTCTTTTCGTTTAAGGTGAAGCATCATTACATGAGGCATGTAGTCAGTTTAATACATCACAGTTTCAGACAGAACGGGGTGCATTTCAAGAGGAGATAAGAACTGCTTTACAGAAGCGCTACGTTGATCTTATGTGCATTGTCACTGATTTACAGGTATATTCAACACACTTTGTGGATTACAAATCTCTGTTTTGGGTTTACCCTAAAACTACAAATCTTGTAACTTTAATTGCCTTCAAACTTTAGGTTGTTGTTTGCTTTGGAGTAATAGCCAATAATCTGTCATCTACAGACTGCATTTATTTTACCGTCTGTTTAAAAGTTTATATATTTAATTTTGCATTGTATTCTAAAGATTAGTAAAGCAAGAAAGTAATCTCTGTTTATTACTTCTGAAGTTATAAGCTGACCTATCAACTTCTGCACTATTCAGATCAGTATAAAAAGTAACAGCTCAAATTTAAACAATTTCCTTTAATTACTTTATTTTTGTTATAGGTCAATAATATAGCACGTCCTTCATTATATGAATCGGCCATCAGAAGTAAAGAAAGGGCAAGAGAAGATATCAAAGTAAGGAGTATTTTTATATGCCCACCTTCATCAGTCAATCCGTTGTCTACCTGTCCACAACTTATAGGTCAGAGTTCTTTATGGATTGGCCATCGCTCCTGTTTGTCTGTCCTAGGGCCTAGGACACTGGTTCAAAGTTCAATCCAAACCTGTCTTTAACAATGTCTTGTGAACACTCTACTGACTACATTTATCATGAGATGATGAACCTTATGATTTTTTTTATATAAACATTATTTTATTTGATTTTAGGATTGGGAAACAGGCAAAGCCTATTTAATTAATCCCTTTCCCCAAACTTTTGCATTTATAGAGAAAGAAATCTGACAAAAAATTATGTACACTATTTACAACATAATACATAAATATAACTACATTCAAAAACACTTGCATTCAAAGTGGGTTAATAAGATTATGATAACTTTTTAGATAATTGTAGAATCTTTAGACCACTCTAGTTATCATCATCTAATTTATATGCATTATTCAAATTAGTGAAACTGCTTGAAATTGAAATGCATTGTACAGCTTGGTCAATAATTTCAAGTAATACTTCTACAGTTATTGCTCTTGCTTACTTTGTAGTGGCAGATGTTTTTGTCTGATCTACTTATTATTTAATTTTCTTGGTTTCTATTATCACAATAAATAATAATTGCTTCCCCCTGGAACTCGTTATAGATGAATATAGTTCCTCTATATCAATTCTCTCTTTTTCCCTTTTTATCCATTTTGCATGGCCATTTTTTTATTACTTTTTATTCTATAATCAAACAAGAATGTTTGAATTTGCCTTATCTACCAGGTTTTGGTGAATGTTTAGGATTTTGACTTTTGATGCAGAAAGATTTTGACTTTTGATGTGGAAGAATAGGAAGTAAGCATACTTTAGTACTAAAATGACATCACTGCCTATAGGTTCCGTTGACCTGGCCTAGCAACAAAACAAACTTCAATACTTTTCAGAGACTGTGGCTTGAGATTTTAGTAATTTTTTATACTGCTTAACAGGTTGCAAGAAGTGAAGAACCACGTCGTTTAACTGAAGCTGATACAGAAATTTTACAAGCAGAAACCCAAGGAAAGATAATTATGAATAAAGCCGAATCAGATGCTAGAATTAGAAACAACAAGTTAGTATTTTCTGTTAGGGCTATTCCATTTAAAATTACCTATGTTGCTTGGAACACTATTTATCTAGATCCCCTTCCACTCCACCACCAGATCATTTTAAAAAATGGTGTTCCCACTCAACAAGTAGTTGATTTTGATTGATTCAAGCTTTTAATTCATCAAAAGTGCAACTCAGATTGCCATACTTAAAAAACACAACACAATTTATATTGAAAAAAGTCACTTGTCAAAACGTGTTATATGTGTATAAACCAGTTATTGTTTTCCATATAAATTGTGTTGTGTTTTTTAATGTGCTCAATCATTAAATAGCACTCAAGGATTATGTGCCATACTTATTTGATTGTTGCTCATCCCAGATTGATGGAACAATTATGCAGTGATTTAGATACTGATGTTTTTGATGGCCTGTGATTTTGTCCAGTTTCACAATTGATGTTATTGAGGGTCTTGTAATCTTGTAAAAACACTGGATTTGACAGTACAGATGCATGATACCTTTAGAGGGTCAGATCTTGGATTTTCAATAAATAATTTATTTGTTAAAAATTACAATGCCTCTATAAGCATTCCAACTTATATTTTCAGAGCCACTGCAGAAGCTGAAGCAATCAGAGCAGAGTTTCAAAAAGAAGCAGAAGCCTATGCGTTTTTGTTGAATAGCAATGGTTTGGGCTTGACACAAGAAGGGTTTATATCATATTTAGGATCTCGTGTAATAGCTGCAGCTAAACAACCTGTTTATATTAATCTAGGAACACCTGCTAAAACTTCATATGTTACTCCATAATTTGAGTGCTTTCTAATAATCTTGATATAACTTTAATTAATGTGAACCAATATATAATCCTTCGCCACAAACTAAACAAGACTTCCTGCCTGTCTTTAATCTTCCCCTTTATCAACTTTATCTTTTCTTCCTACAAGATATGACATTGTGCACCATGGATCCACTTTTAAGCATTTCTGACATCAAATTTATGGAGTAATGTTTGCATCTACCTGAAGCATTATCCCATTCTGAAATCTGTTCCACCTCTTCTATAATCTATTTAAGCTGTCTACAAGCCTGAGTAATCACTGTTAAGTATATCAGTTTTTAGAGGTGTTATGTTTAAGTATAGGGTAACTATCCCATACTTTATTTTATTATGTTATAGATAATTATGATGTAATACTACTGGCGGTTAAGCTTATTTTGCACATTGAATGTTTTGCTGGCATTGATTTCTTGTTTTGATAGTATTGTTAAAGTTTTGTGTACTACCAATGCCCTGATGAAAGTGTACATCTGTAAGCGAGATCAAAAGTGAACTTTAAATCACAAGAACAATTTTCCAAAAAGCTATGGATTTCTACTTCCATTTCAGGTAGTCAGGACATAAATTTATATTTTAATGATTTCAAAACAATTTTTCTTTTAAGCATTTTTAAATAAATACAAGTAAGTTCTTAATTTCAATTTAATATAATTTTAAATTATATAATGATTTTAAAACAATTTTTCATAAATAAAAAAGAATAAGGCATATGAATAACAAAATCATTTTGAATGGAAGGTCTATCTCAATTTGAAAGTAAGTTCGTAATTTCAATTTGATATTAAAAAAAATTGATAATTATATAATAATTGTGTACTTTTTTGTTGGTGCAATATTAAATGACAGTCTATCTGTCTATTTTAAAATATCTAATAAACATATTACTATAAATATCTTAATGAGGTAGTTCCAGATTTCAAAGGACATATAAGACTACACCTTATTGACTAGCAGCCACATGAGTTTTATTATGTGTACATTGTTAAGACATAGTGTGTGACATTGTGAAGGATAATATGATAACTTATATTAATATCTCTATGTTGCCTTATTGAAATATCCTTAGAAAAAGTGTCTATATTTTGATGCATTTTATTACTACGAAAGTTATTTCACAGGCCAGTGATTAGAATATACATCGATAACTTGTTAAACACAATTCTCAGGCTGAAAACTAGCAAGTAGTCTATATTTATATAAATAATCCCCAGTTTTTTACATAAATCTTTGTCTTTTTTTTTTTTTAATAAACTTGTGTCAGATTGTACTAATTACTATTAACTTGTGTCAGATTTTACAACTAACTTGTGTTTATTAACTTATGTCAGATTTTACTGACTCACTATTTTATTGGTAAACTATGGTATACATTGTCATAATTTTTGTTATTAGATCTGTGATTATTATTCCCACTATCTTCTCAGTGATTTTATAAATGTTATGAGTATTATGTTTTAGTAATTTAAATGTTTTTGTATATGTTTGACATGCATAATATCATGATAGATTAGAACAAATTATGATATTAGGAAGTTTATTTAGGCATTACTGTGGGTCAAATGACTATACCTGTATAAGTCTGGTTAAAGAGACTGTTGTTAACATATTGGTTAGCAAAAACAGATAACTAGTTTATAGGGCATTCACAAGCAGTAACAAACTACCTAAACAGCAATAATCAAAATATATAAATTTGGTTATTAATATGTCTTTACCTTATTTGCAATTGTTACCAAGACATGATATAACTAAAGACATATCATTACCACCATATATAGCAACAATAGACTTTTGTTTCATGGTCCCAGCTTAGAATTGGGTTATTACCCTACTCAGGTTATTCAGGATTATTTTACTATTATTATATTTGTCTTACTACATGTTTTCACAGTTTTTGTAATAAATTTCTTATTTACTGTAATATGTCTCTGTCAGTTTTGGCTGTGTTGTAATATTAATTGCAAAATGAAGTTAAATCAGGTGACAGGAACAAGAAATGAAATAGGGTTTAATGTCCTACGGAGGTATCTTTTCTGTACCATTCACTGCAGTCTACTCTCACTTTGAATTTGGGGGGGTTGGATGGCTGAATGGTTAGCACGTGCGCGCTGTATCATGAAGTCTGTCATTGAGTCAACTGGCGTGGTTTCGAATCCCCGGTTGTACGTGGCAAGGAGTAGGGTCACCTACCCAACCTCGGGGGTTTTCTCCGGGTCCTCCCACTGCTAAAGACCCATACGCGCAAGCGAATTATTGAAATAAAATTGAACCATATGTTAGTCCCTAAATGACCTAGTTTGTGTCGAGTGGACTTTAAACCCCATTTCTCTCTCTTTTCTTTCTCACTTTGAATTTGAACTGTCAAGGTTTTTTATGTGGGGGGGTGGATGGCGAGTGGTTAGCACATACACGCTGACCACTGTATCATATGGCCCGTCATTGAGTCAACTGGTTGTACGTGACAAGGAGTAGGGTCGCCTGTCCAACCTAGTGGGTTTTCTCCATGTCCTCCGGTTTCCTCCCACTGCTAAAGACCCCTACGCCCAAGCGAATTATTGAAATAAAATTGAACCATGTGTTAGTCCCAAAATGACCTAGTTTGCGTCAAGTGGCCGTTAAACCCCATTGCTCTCTCTCTTTTTATATATGCATGCGGAAACTCAGTTTTTCATACCGTCCGAACCGACTAGGTGATTGTTCCTTACCAGGCCCTTCATTCTGCCACACTGGAAAATTTTCAAGGAATTTCCTGGTTAATGAACCAGTGGCTAACGTATTGAGCATGGGCACATTTTCTGTGGCAAACTCATTACCAATTGTTTCTAAATGTGTAAATATATAATGTGGTAAAGTTTCAATAGAAAGTTTTGACAATTTTTCATAAACATGCATTGTCATATAATTTTTTGGCAAATTGTTAGTTCAGTTTGCATGTAACATCAATGGCAGTTTTTATGCCCATTGTTGTTAGGAATGTTGGATCACCTGTCAAGATCATCATTCATAAGCTATGAATGCTCAGTATGTGAAGGTGTGGTATTATGTCTGTACTCTTTCTTTGAACCCCAATGCCTCGGCCCAACTATTATAATTTCAATTAGAATAAGTCTGCCTTTTCTGAGTCAGACATTGTAGGAGGAAGTGTGTATGAAAAGTGATTCAATATTGAGATGCATGTTAAATGTTAAAGACAAAATGTTAAATTTCATTTCTTACTTAGCAAACGGCAATCAAAATATGACTGTGTCATTGCCCAGTCTACAAGATGCGGATTTCATTTTATGTGATTAACCCCTTTAGGTTGTAACAGAACTCAATGTAAAAAATCATCACTTTCCTCTGGTTTTTTTAGTAAACAGAGTTGTAAATATTTACAAGTACCAGGTTCTAATGGGTTAACTAATTGAATAATCACAGAAATTATAATTACATTTGCACAATTATTATCATAGACTGTTACACTTCTCTTAGTAATTATAGCACGATGGTTTTATCAAGATTTTTAAATATATATTTTAATAAAAAAAATCTTTATTATTTAAATTTTTTTAATTAAAAAATTATCATTTATTTTTATATATCGTGTTACAAGTTATCAAATACAAAATATACAAATTCAATTTGTTGTAAATGTTTCACTAATTATTGGCTAAAAATCCTTGACAATAATAATTTCTTTAACAACAACAATCACAAGAATCAGTGCCATTAATCAGGAATTTTGTATAACAGAAAATAATTCCTGTTTTAATATCTACTGTAAAGTAAAGGATAAATTCATTCCAATTATCTTGATACTCTATTTTAATTTTTGTAATTAAAGTATAGAATTATAGTTTTCTTCTGTCAGTAAATCACGAAAGATCCACCATTTCCTTAATTATTTAGCTTACGGTACATACTTAAAGACTTAAACTTTAAATCTATTTTTAGCTTCTCTAAGTTTTCCCATCGTATCCACTTCATCCTTTCCTTCAACCTTTTTCTGTACACTAGCAACACTGTAATAAATGATACACATGTAAATGTTATATATTATCAGCCTATGGTTGAATATATTTGAGCCCCTAAGAATTTGCCGAGGTGACCCCACCCACAATACACCATCAGGTTTATCCATATAAATAAATCACTGTTATACAGTATTAAACTCCTCTGTATTATCATTGTTACAAATTCTGACAAAAGAATTTGACCGCTTAGCGTAGTCTGTGTTTGAATATGGCTGAATGGTCTAACACATGCACTTTAAAGCGAGAATTTCATATTTTCTAAGAAAGTCAAAACATAATTATTTCTATGTCTTTTGCTCAATAGGTTATCAACTCACTATTATACGACCATGGGCATTATTTCCCACCCTTAAAAATCATTGACACAGGAAATAATAACACAATTATCTCCCTTGTTTTCCTATTGTCTCCATGCATTAGCTACCTTCAAACGTTGGAATTTGAAGTTGAAAATGATATTTTTGCCGATGTCTCAGCTGGCAATAGTGAATTATAGGATTAATAGGATTATTCTTTAACAAGGTAGGACGGTTTATGGATACCATCTATTTTAAGGCTTTATTTTAATAAATTTTAAAAATATAACTTAAAAATATGAAATTGTAGCTTTAAATCCTAAGGTCTGTCACTGAGTCAAGTGGCATGGTTTTAATCCTACAACACTTGTATGAGACAAAGAGTAGAGTGGCCTGCCTTACATCTGGAATTTTCTCAGGGTCCTACGGTTTCCTCATGCTGCTGCTAAAGACCCCTAATTGCAATCTAATTATAGAACTAACTTCGTAGCATATGCTAGTCCCAAAATTACCCATTCTACATAAAGTCTTTTAATAGTCAGATGTGCTGAGTTAGTTAATAACAGATTTAACCTAAAACAGTGCATATTTTTGACTTTAGTTGACATTTATGTGAATGATCTGGCTTGTTGTACCCTTAATTAAAGACTATACCTGACTCTCATAAATGGATTAAAGGTTAGTTCCTCTTGTATTGTTGATGGTATTGTTACTTGTCTCTCTGATCTTTGTTTCTGAAAACAGTAAAACACAAAGACTAGGATATTACTCTTGCTAACTTATATTCTCGATCAATTTTAGTGTGTTTTGGTCATTAATAAGTTGGGCAGTCCACAGAGGTTTATTTGTTCATTTTGTGAATGTTATCTGATCGAGAGTTACATTTAAATGGAACAGGTAAATTTTATTGTACATCTTTGTTTTATCAATAAACTTATACAAATGGTTGAAGCAAAAATCTGAGATTTCTGGGATTGTTCAGCTAATCGTAAGTAGGAACCCCACCAATTTCATGTGCAGTTATTACTACTGTATCTGAAATTAAAATAAATAATCTAGATTATATTTACCTTGGACCAATCCAGTTTATTCTGTACATCCGGATTATCTGGTTCGATGTTGCTGGCAAATCGTAGATTACTGACTGTGTATTCATGACCACAATAAATTGTCTGGAAAATATAAAGGTACACCAATAAGAGAACAAAACAGAGTAATAGTTACTCCTCAACCAGTGAAAAATTACATGTCAGATATCCGAAATCCTCAACCAATCAAAATAAATGTCAAATATCTGTAATTCTCAACCAGTTAAAAAAAGGTAAGATATTTGTGATTCTAAATCAGTCGAAATACATGTCAAATATCTGTAATCTTCAACCAGTCAAAATACATGTTAAATATCTGAAATTCTCAACCAGTCAAAATACATGTCAAATATTTGTAATCCCCAACCAGTCAAAATACATGTGAGATATCTGTAATCTTCAACCAGTCAAAATACATGTCGAATATATGTAATCCTCAACCAGTCAAAATTCCAGTCAGATATCTATAAAAGTGCTTATAAATGAAAGTATGAATATTCAGTGGCTGATCAAGGTGGAGGCCCTAGATGCCTGACCCCCCACTAATAAACAGTAGAAAAATTCACTTATTATTCCTGGCAGGGGGGAAGTGTAGGTTCAATTTCATATAAACGCCACAAATCACCATTGACAGAACAATTAATATTTGGGTAATATCAACTCACAGTATTTGATGGTTATTTTAGAGTACATGTATTTTTAACTCTTTCATTGTTTTGTATTTGATGGTATTTTTGAATTACTTCAATTAATGGTAATAGAAACACACGATAATTGATGTTAACTATAATATACTGTATTGGGGTATTGAAAACTTACTGTATTTGATGGTAATTTAGCTAAAACTTCAATTAAAGCATGGTGCATCTGTTCTGGTGTTCCTTCAAAAAATTTCCCACATCCTGCCACAAACAACGTATCACCTGAAAATGCAATCAATCCATAAATTATATCCACTATTCCACCACAGTCAACTTGAGGCTGACAATTATAAGAGATTGTCTTCATTGGTCTAATATAAGTTGACTAATGAAAATAGTTGATACGTCCTCTTTCATTTATACTTTCATTAGCCATTAAGTAGTCAGAATAACATTTTTAAAATTAACTACATACAGTGATAAATGTGATCGATATAGGTTATTATGATCATTGCTCATGAACCTTGCTTCAGGATAATGACCCAAAGATCCCTTCACTGTCCTGAAATATCTTTTATTATATATTTAATCTCTACCTGTAAACACAGCTGGTTGTTGATTGGTGGAACTGGTTACAAAATAACAAATATGGCCACTTGTATGACATGGTGTCGATAAACACTTAATGTCTAATTCACCAATCTGTAGAAATGAGAAACATGAAACTTAGATGATATCTTTTCATAACAACTTTCAACATGTCTTTAAATTAAGTACCCAGAACTGTTAGGGTCTGGATATTTTGTAACCAGTCAAAAGCTTGACCCACCTTCATGCCCAAAGAGAACAACAGTCTCAATTTTTTGTGTAATTACTGTTACCTATTTACCACTGGGTACATTGGAATACAGAGATGAAGTATCTTATTTATGGACAGAAAAACTTGATTCACAAAGCAAATCTTCTCGAACAATAGGTCACAAATCCTACCCTCTAACTGTTGCATCAAATCTCTCTAATCCGCTGAATTCATTAGAAATACATAAACTATATAACGTAGCTTATAATTTCTAACATCAACTGACCTTAAAATTTTCTCCATGTTTAACTTTATGAGTTAAGGCTCCTATTCTGTCATCTCCACCATATACGTTTACTTTACCCATCAAATCTACTAACTGTTCATTTCCACCAGCATGATCCCTGAATACAAAAACTCATCATATTCCAATCTCACTAAAACACAGGTTCTATTTCGTTTCGTTTTTTATAGTTCAAAATTTCATTTTACTTGTCTTTACTACACTAGGATCTGGAAGAGTTGTTATATAACCAACGTTCTGGATGATGTGAGGGATTAGCCAATGAAACGGTCTGTTACGATGAGTTTTTGGCGTGAGTTACACAGAACTGTGGATAACCCACTAGAAACATTAACGCTGATTGGTTAATCAAATGTCTGACGTTATAGGGTCAAAAGCCGCTCATATGACCTCTGACACAACCTCCCACTACAACTGGTCAGATCTTCATGTAGTAGAGGACATCGAAAGTGTAAAAAAATTGAAACGAAATATAGATCTGTATTTTAATCAGATTGATCATATGTCATATAGTCTCAGGTGTTCTAGAAACAGTAAGCATACCTAGTCTTGTGTATGACAGTGGTAAGAAGTTTGTTATCTGGTAACTTAATCAACCTGTTAGTTGATCTAATTGATTACTTTTGATTGTTTTGGGGGGGGCGAGGGGGTGTTTGATGATACTGTCGACTCATTTAGTATCTAAAACATACTTTTATTTTACAGAATAGAAATGTCGGCTAAAATCCATTTGAAATGTCGACTTAAATCCATTTGAAATGTCGACTAAAATCCATTTGAAAAGCAGTAGGTCAAATTTAACTTATTAGTTACTTGCTGGCATTATTTTCTTGTTTTACAGTGCCATTACATTTACTAAGGTAACAACCAATTATAATCTTGGAGAGAGAGAGAGAGAGAGAGAGAGAGGTAACCTCAACTTGACACAAACTAGGTCATTTTGGGACTAACATATGACACATGGCTGGTCTTTAACAGGTTGGGCAGATGACCCTACTCCTTTTCACACATCAGCCAGTGATCAAACCCATACCACTTGACTCAATGATAAACTTTATGAACTAAAGTGCACACATCAGAACACTTGGCCACCCAACCCCTCTACAAGATCTAAGAAAGAAAGTCACATGATTTAAAACAGAAACGTAATGTTAAAGTTTTGTAATTATTCGGTAGAGAAAACAAATAATTTTAAAACCAACCAGTGATGATGTGTTGTAAGAACTGATGTTAATTTGACCTTTTCTTCTTGAACGGCTGCCTGAATCTGAAAACGTAAAATTTCATTATGAAAAATATAATCTGATGAGTTTATTAGGCTCAGGGTCCACAGTTCAACAAATCACTTGTTTATGAATTTCTTAGATATTAATTTTGTCCCTATAAATTCAAAATACCGACTAGAAAGCAACTTTAAGTTTGCATTTTTCGGACAATGAATAATTGTTCACGACTTACTTAACACTGTAATGTAAAGGAATGAGTGCAGTTCTGTTGTCGTATAATAGTAAAGAACCATGCCCTTTTTATTTATTTTTTGGCTCCTTTACCTTTTTTGGTTCTACTGGATCTATAGCTGCACATTGATTTGTCTTTTCATCTATTAATAGATACATGTAATTATCTTCTAGTGCTGGGATAATTCGAATCTTCATGTCTCTCTCTTTAATTACACTCTGACTGGAATGATATCTAAAACCAGACTGGTTCTTAGTAACAGAATGTTTAACTAAAATATAAAATACATATTGAATAAAATATGATCCTGGTACTAAATAAATTAATAAAACAATAACAGGGAGACATTCTAAAATTGATACACCTGCCCAATAGTACATTGTAAATTGAATTTTAAAAACTGTATATATCTCAGATTAGAACTGACTGATTTGTGACAAATCTTATTTGAAAAGTCTTACTGTCACTACTGTAGTGTCGTCAAATCAAGTTAAATATTTTTTGTTTTATTATCAAATGAAGATCACCAATGCGATAAATCCTCTTTGACTGATATTGCTGTTTTGGAAATCACTACTATAGCAATCCTTGGCATGGAATCTGTATATCATTTAATACTGATCTCCAGATGACGGTGCATCAGCTCCGTCCAACAGTGAAAAACTCATTTTCCTTGGAAATAAATAGATCTATACTCACGATTATTTCCACTGAATTTAATCAAAGCTAACAGACGAACAACTCGATGCATTAAGTTGAAATGGGTGGCTTCAGATTGCAAAATTTAATATACATGTACCACTACCTATTAAACAGAGTATGATTTTGTAGCAAGGATTAAAAATATGTGATCGTATTTGAGCCTATTGTTCTGTTCTGTCTGTCCTGTGCTGTCCTAAGTATAAAATGGCTAAATAGCTTTTATTTGTGATAAACATAAAATTGGATTTTATATGTTAATTTGTTTTATCGCATCTAACACTAGGCTATATGTCTTCCTTGAAAATTCTACGTCTATAAAGATATAACCAATATTGTGTTCCACTGTCAACACGGTTAAAATCAAAATTAGTGAACAACTTGCATTAGGCATAATGCTAGATCCGTATTTTGACTTTTACCTGATTGAAAGGTGTGTTAATAATAAAAAATGTTCTCACACCCGGGAGGAGACATTCACTGTCTCCTGGATCTGCTTATGCCCCAGTGCTTCAGATTCCTTAATTACCCATCCGACTATAGGCCTACTGTTTATTTAAAAAATGCCCTTGCTCCTTAACTACCCTCCGACTTTAGGCCTACTGTATATTTAAAAAATGCCCTACCTACATGAGTACATGTATATCCTGATTCTAATAGTTTTACTTTGAGCAAACAGGTTTAGCTCCTTTACTGTCTGCTAGTGTCACATCACAAATTGCTTATAATTAATGTACATAAGTCTTCAAACACAAATCATTTGTCAATTTAAATCAACATTGATGTTGTGATCATACTGGGAAAAGATGGGCTTCTGGTATCCAATATTTAATTGGTCAAAAAGCACATATTAGTGTAATATGAGTACATTCAAAGTGATTTATATTCAATTTTTAAAAAAAAATTGTAATTTCTAATCAATTATGTTCGGCAAAATACATGAACAGTCTAATCTGATTAAAACCCAGATCCTTATTTCCTTTCGTTTTTTTATTGTTCAAAATTTTGTTTTACTTGTCTTCACTACACCATGATCTGGAAGAGTTGTTATATTAGCGGCGTTTTGGTTGAAGTGAGGTATAAGCCAATGAAACAGTCTGTTACGGAACTGTGGGTACACCACATTAATCAATGTCTGACGTCATAGGGTCAAAAGCCACTCGTACGACTCCTGACCACTGATCTATATAATAACAGTGCCCCTGACACGACCTTATAGTACAACATGACAGATCTTCATGTAGTGTAGGCCATCAAAAGTATAAAAAAAAAAACGAAACGAAATATAGATCTGTATTTTAATCAGATTGATGAACAGTCCAAACTGAACGACAGTCGTTTACGCCAGCTTCATCCATTCTAAACGTTTTTTTTATTATTATTATTTTATCATTTGTGAATCAGCCATTACTATTTACTGTCACATTGTAATTTAGGATATGTTTTTCCTTCATTGATTTTGCGCCCAAAACGATATGGTAGGCTACACGACTCACATAGTAGGCCTACCATATAATGTGTCTTAAATATTGGATATTAGGATCCGACATTTTCACGGCAACATAACAACAGCAATATGGATTGAAACGGACCAATATTGAATTCTAATTTGTGTTTTTAATTTCGAATGTTATGGAAAATATTGAGTTAGAGAAAGCTCCTTTAAGACAAAATAAACAGTTTATCATTGGTACACGAATCGTATACCAGAATGCGTTTCAGCGCCATTTTAATAAGAGGCTAGACATATTCCACAAGTCATGTCAAACGGTGACGCCATATTCTTATCTGGCGAGCATGCACAATATATACTACCGGTGTAGACTAGAATAACTAAGCGCTAGAGATTTCCGATTTCCATTTGATTGAGACTTCTCAAATATTTCACCGAACATAATTGATATGAAATTAGAGTAAAAACGAAAACGATTGAATTGAATGTAAATCAGTTGCGACCCATTGCCATTAGCCTACTTCTACTGTTAAAGGTCCCAAATAACGGCAATACTATATACCAGAAAACACCGGAAAACAACCGGAAAACTACCGGAAAACATCATGTTGTACTGAATACCGGAAAACTCTGGAAAAACACTAAATACCGGAAAACACACTAAATACCGGAATACCCTAAATAGGTAACCCAGAGCCTGGTCCTCTGTTTGCGCGGAGTTAGGGTTAGGGTTTTCCGGGGTTTTCCAGAGGACCAGCGGTGGGTTATGTTTAAGAATTTGGGGGAGAGGTTAAGCACTGACCTAGGATGATGAAAAGTTAGTTTGTGATATTTAGTGTGTTTTCCGGTATTTAGTGTTTTTCCGGTGTTTTCCGGTGTTTTCCGGTATTCAGTATAACATGGTGTTTTCCGGTAGTTTTTCCGGTTGTTTTCCGGTGTTTTTTGGTGTTCTTTTGGTTACTGCCCCCAATTATTAGCAAAATCGAATAAAAAAAACCGACTGTTTATAATTTTGACTTTTCCGTACAGTTAATTGAAGTTCGGTCTCTTAGAGAATAATTCCAATATCAAATGACACTATCTAATGAGGATAAAATATAAAATACCTTTGGATCTACGGTATGAAGCTTGTTTATTATGGTCTTTCCAAACGGATGCTTTGATAAGGGAGGTAAGTCCAATCTCTTGTGGGCTTTCTTTTTTTTTTCTTTTTTTTTTTTGCGTGTGTAAAACAGAGTTGTTTCCCATTGACCATTAGGGACAAAGAGAATCGAAAGAAGCTGACAATTTAATTTTGGCTGAAAATGAGAGGTAATGCATTTTTTGTTGTATCAAACAAATGACTGAGTTATTACTTAAAGTAATTAGGTAACATTTAGTTACAGGGTATTACAGAGAATAGGCTTAATGGCAAACAGGAGTATGTCAAAACCAAGAAAAACAGAAATATCCAAATAATAATGAGGGCAAGGCCAGAATAAATTTATAATGGCAACGGTGTATTACGGTACCCTCACTCTCAGGAATCTCTGGCACCATCTTGGCCCCTATTGTATCAGATTGAAAGATTGTCTATGGGTTTTATACTTTCTCTGTCTTGAAATTCACAATTCTTAAGTCTCAGCCTACTTTGAAAAAGTCAAAACAATTGAATTAGTTTATATCTTTTGCAAAGCCAGTACATTTAGATTGAATAACATCAGTCAGGGATGAGAGTTCTACTGCACATATTAGTGTATGTGTCATATTTCCCACAAATGCAAGTTTACCAAAAATGCAATAACCTTCACAGACTGTTTTAATGACTGATGTGATGTTTCCTGGCAAAGTAGCTTGGGTCCTGTTATAGACTGGCTCGACCTCCGGTACCTGTAACTATGAATCTCATTGAATATCATTTTATCACTTTAATTGTATTTTGTAATGTCTTGACAGGATGATGGTTACCATTAGTAATGGCTGGCAGTGGAATGCATGTACCGATACCAGTACCATCTGAACCACCATATATAAATTTCATGATGGTGAGTATTCATTCAGGGTCATTCCATGTCAAGTGGGTCAGGAGTATGGGAATCGACCCCCTCAAAAAAATCTAGAAAAAATATTATTGTACATGTAAAAACTAGAAACTGTGCACAATTTGTGAAAAATTGACTGAGATACAGGCTTTTGAGTTTCATGAGTTACCGATAAGTTTTCGAAACAAAATATGTATCAATAATTTACTCGAGTTTCAGATATCTTATTTTTACCTTTCTACTAGAATTTCTAGTGAAGATATACAACTCAAATTTGGTAGTCTTAAAGAACTGATTGTGTAGTTTATGAATCTGCAATCAGATTGTATATTTTCTGGATTTTGTACTGCTCCAGGAGCTACAAAGTAATAGATATAGACCCAATTTTTGGCCTATCCAGTGATTGCCGGTAGTACTACATAACAAACATATGAAAACGCACCAGTCTTCACTAGATTCCCCGAAAATTGGCCTCGAATATGGTTTCAGACACAAATTTTCGAAAATTGCCTTGTGTATTTGAGCCGATAGAACCTGCGTAGATCAGCACCTAAATATCTGAAACTTGGTGTAATTTTAATTTGTACTAATGTCACCAACATATGTTAAAGCCATTCATGTCCCATGCCTTCTTGATATTTTTTCACAATCTGTGTTTTGGGTCAGTCAATGTCAATTATCGTATTTCGAGCCGACTGAACCCAGTAGATGAACACCTAAAAACCCGAAACTTGGTGAAATTTTAGTTTGTACTGATGTCTCTAATATATGTTAAAACCATTATTATCCCATGCCATCTCAATATTTTTTCGATTTTTATCACCCAATGAGTTAAACCGTACCCCCTTCGTTTTATTGAAATTTGTTTTATATGTTTATTAGGGCTGAAAAACCTTCATCTGACTAACAGTTCCTGAGATATGGTCTACCCAATTTTGGGGATTTCATCTAAATGGGTGTGGCCGACATTATTCAAATGATCATAACCCAGTATAAGATAGGTCAACATTGCTGGAATAAGTATTTCTGGAATAGGAATTCTACAAGGATTCTAAATCTACACTTATTTTTGACATCCAGGTGCGTTTTAAAGAGTGAAGACCTTTTGACTTTGAATTTGACCTTCCTTGTAGACCATACAGTGTGACTTTGAGATGAACTTTCATGAAAAGTTTAGCTCAACATGTTTTCTACACAATGTCAAACAATTGGAGTTATAATATAAATTCTTTTATAACCATGTAAAATCAAGTAAAATATTCACACTTAAGGCAGAAAATCAGTTTCTTTGCAGGGTTTTGTTCATGGATAAACTCTGAGGATACATACAGTACCCTGCTGCAGACTTTCCTATATGATTCAAACAGCAAGTCATCCTCTTTCCATAAATTATACTTATTCCAGCAATTTTAACCTATTGGTTACTAGGTTATGGTCATTTGAATAATGGCGCCCACGCCCACGCCCATTTTGGATGAAATCCCCAAAATTGGGTGGACTGTATCTCGGGAGCCGTTAGTCGGATCAAGCTAAAAATTGGGATATCAGCCTTTTCAGCCCTAATATAAACAAAATTTCAGCAAAATTAAAGGGGGTATGGTTTAATTCATTGGGTGATAATTGACATGGAAACACAGATGGCATGGGACAAGAATGGCTTTAACATATGTTTGAGACATTACTACTACATGTAACTATAATTACACTAAGTTTCAGATTTTTAAGTGCTCATCTACCAGGTTCTTTCGGCTCGAAAATATGAGGCAATTTTTGAAAATTTGTGTCTGAAAACCATATTCGAGGCCAATTTTCTGGGAATCTAGTGAAGACTGGTGCGTTTTCATATGTTTCTTATGTAGTACTACTGGTAATCTCTGGATAGGCCAAAATTTGGGTCTATATCTATTACTTTGTGGCTCCGGGAGCACTACAAAATCCAGAAAAAATACACTTACAACAATGTTTTGGGGATTTCATAATTTCATGGCCAAGTAGCATGCGAACCCTACCACTCACCTGTAATTTGATTGCAGATTCGTATTCTACACAAAAAGTTCTTTAAGACTACCAAATTTGCTTTGTATATCTTCACTAGAAAGGTAAAAATAAGATATCTGAAACTCAAGTAAATTATTGGTACATATTTCGTTATGAAAACTTATTGGTAACTCATGAAACTCAAATGCCATATCTCACTCAGTCAATTTTCAAGCTACGGGCCACCTATTTTGGACAGTTTCTAGTTTTTTCACGTACAATAACATATTTTTTTCAAATATTTTTGAGGGGGTTTTCCCAAATTTCTGAATATTGACCCACTTGACATGGAATAACCCTTCAGCATTTGACCTTCTTCACCCAAATCTACCCAAATCCACCGTTATTTCAACTTAAACAATAATAATTTATATCAATATTTGATAATATACCGTTCTTTTACTAAATTGTCATTATATATTATTAACAATTGTAGCGTTTTTGTGTCAATAATGGTCCTTAAAATGCGATTTCAAAACAAGTTTGGAAGGTGTAACCAAGGGACATAACTCGTGTATTGCACAAATTCCCTTGCTTGGAAATTGCATTTTGAGGGACATTTTTGAAGCAAAAACATTGCACTTTTAACTATAAATGCCAATTTGGCATAAAGAACACTATGGTATGTACGGTATACAAAATTGGTGAAAACATTTGGACATTGCTCCATTCATTAACCAAAATGAACAATCCCTATTAATTTGAAAACAATCAGACAAGAACTGTATAGTATTTAAAAAGTTTTGTGTTCACAAGAAAAGTCTGATGGACAACAGAGACATACTTAAACATAATTTTTAAATGTAAGCATATATAAATAGTCATTTGGAATTTTTATTGGTTTATCATAAAACTTTCCATTCTTCAACCAGCCGAATGGTTAGCATGTGCACGCTGTATCATAAGACCTGTCATTGAGTCAACTGGCGTGGTTTCGAATCCCCTGTTGTATGTGACAAGGAGTAGGGTTGTCTGTCCAACCTCGTGGGTTTTCTCCTGGTCCTCCGGTTTCCTCCAACTGCTAAAGAACCTACGCGCAAGCAAATTATTGAAATAAAATTAAACCATATGTTAGTCCCAAAATGACCTAGTTTATGTCGAGTGGACGTTAAACCCCATTTCTCTTTCTTTCCCATTCTTCAACCAGGTTGTAGAGTTACTGATCGATTTTGAAGTAATTCTCAACATCCAGGATTTAAACACAAGCCTATAGAATATTGAGAATAATGTAGTATAATAAATGCACTGATCTGTACATTTAACACATTGTTCTATATTTACAATCAGCTATCATGAAAATATGAATATATTATATTATGCTGTGCAGTCATTTTGCATAAATTATACATAGATAAATATCATAGTTTCTTTTAGATACAGTCCTGATAAGATTACTGTGGGCTACTGTGTAAATAAAATATAATATTTATTTTAAAAGTCTTACTTGTTTTAAAAGTCAATATTGATATTTGGAATTATTATTCGGTAGCCTTTGAAAATGTTTTTTAATTAAAGACTTTAAAAGTGACTTTCTTTCATTATCATTTTACAGTAATATATTCTGTCATACAATTAGACAGATGGTTCACATGTATTTAAAAAGTCTAAAATATGCACAATTTTAACATACAGACAGTTGTTATTTAATCTGGTCATATGTTTGTTGAATGAAGACTATTGATAGTATGATAAAAAAATAATCTGGTCATATCTTTGTAGAATGAAGACTATTGATAGTATGATAAAAAAAAATCAAATGAAATTTAGAAATCAAATGAAATGAAATGGGGTTTAACGTCCTACTGTTCTGCTCCGACTGGCTAATGAAGATGGGCATACGCCATACAGTGTGCTATGAGGGTAAAACCAACTGCCAAGGGATCCTTTACGTGCACGCCAATATATAAATAGGACCTTGGTTTTTCATCACATCCGAATGACTGGACAGATGTCCCGGTCAGGTCATCTGTCCTGCACTATTGACAAGGGCAAACCATGTCAGAAAATTCTGATGAACTTTCTTGGCCAATGCAGGGATCGAACACGCGACGTGTAGGCTAGCAAGCCAGCGTCTTACCCACTGGCACTTAGCCACTGTGGCTCAATCAAATGAAATTTAGATTAGAATTGATTTTGTTATTCAGTTAAACACATACA